TTACAGCTCATTCACAGCCAGCCTTCGGCTCATTTCTCATGGCTTTCCCCCCCCCCACATTTCCCATTTTCCTTGCCCCGCGCGCCGCCATCAAGTGTTTTTCAAGTGGAGATTAGCACGATTCCTGTGCAGCTTATGGCAAGGATGCTGCTGCGGCCCCCTTTTATCTGTTCAGTTCAGTTCGATTGGTTTGCTTGTTCAACTGTTTTCCTTTTCTGCCTTTTTTTTGCCTCGATTTCTTTGAGTTTGAGTTGTTTGCCAAATAAAAAGATTTGAGCTGTTTACAATAAAGCGGAAAATGGTATTTCCCTCATAATATTTAGCGTGAAAGTGGGTCGCCATAAATTATGGGGACCTTATGAGGGCAAAATGTATTAAATTAAAGATTTTGGAATAACATTCGTGATTAGTGAGCTAGAAATCTGACTAAATCAATTATTTTTTGTATAATTTATAAGTTAACACTATTTAATAGTTTCATTGTTTATAAAACAGAATATTATACGACGATCATTTATAATTTTAATATTGAATTTTAATAAAAATATATGCTAAAAATGTTAGTCTAAATTTTCCCTCAAGCTTTTATAAGAATCTTTAAAAAAACAATACCACGTTTCCCAAACAACCCTCATACATCCATTTAAAAGCCACTTTTATGATAATTGCTGTATTTAACCACAGACATGGCCCAATTTCTGGGCAATTTCCACACGTTCAGCCAAGTAAAAACTGAAGCTAATATGCAGGACCACAAAAACAGAAATAAAAGCCTTAAATTAGACCATTTTGCACCTTTAAAAAGGACATTAAAAATAGACCAAGGTAGCGAGGATGTATATAGAAGTTAGGGTAAGGGAACTCAGAGCGTTCCAATCAGCATGAGAAACAAATTAGAACACGCACGAATGGCCAGGCCACAAAAGCAAAGTGATGACACACACGCACAACACACGTCCTTGGAGGAGACAGGAAAAAAAGCAGCAATAGTTGGGCAAAAGGAGATCAAAGCCAGAGGCACGTGAGTCTCTGGCAACTTCTTTTCCCCCCCAAAAAAAAGCGGCATAATAATAATTGAGTAGATGCCAAACCTACGGCAGTGTACAAAAAATACAAAAATAGTTGCAGAAAATGCAAAATAAGGAGACGCAAAAGAATACAGACTAAGGCCGCGCGCACACTACGAGCTGAAAGCGGAGCTGACGGCTGAGAGCTTATCCGCGGAAAGCTTATCAGCGATCGGAGCTTTTTGCAGCCGCGCACACTGCGAGCTGAAGCTGATGTTGATTTGTAATTGTTTTTCAAGCAATACGTTTAAAAAAAAAACATATTTTAATTCTTTAATATTTTTAAAATATCGTTGTTAATGCGATGACATATTTATTTAGATCATCATGACATTTAAATTTTCGAAATCGGACCACCCAGTTCTCCAGAATATGGTTGACAAAGTACGTTTTTTTAGTGTACTTTGGCACCCTGTATCTCGGAAAGTTGACAATATTTTTATTTTAATAAATATTAAAAAAATTCTTCATACTTTTCTATATAACTGGACAGAAATTTAAATTTCTGTTACTTAAGCGCTAATTAGGGCAATTTTTTAAAGAATAGTCTAAAAAATCAGCTCGCGTCAGCTGCTAACAAAATCAAACATGTTTGGTTGATCAAACAGAGCGGAGCGGAGCTGACCTTATCAGCTTTCAGCTCCGCTCTCAGTGTGCGCGCTCTCATACAAGTAGTGTGTTTGTTTCAGAGAGCTGATAAGCCGTCAGCCGTCAGCTCCGCTTTCAGCTCGTAGTGTGCGCGCGGCCCAAGTCAGGCCCAAGCGTTGGAAATGGAAACCGTAGCTAAGTTCTCCTTCTCCCCTCATCTGGAACTGGGATCGGGACATCCTATACCCACACACGCACATCTGCTACTAAGCTGCTCTGCACGCACATGAAAAATCCAGCAAAAAAGTCCTTGAGCACGGCACGGCAAAAAAATAAGGAATATAAAGGAGAGCGGACACGGCGACGGGGCCAAACTCGAACTGGCACTTAAGAGCGTCGATGTCATGTCGACACAGAAGCCTGTGGAATGGGTGTGTGACAAAAAGGATGAAAAAGCGGCAGGATCACACTGAAATTTAATATTAAATAAAATTTTTAATATTTAAAGAAAGTTAGAAAAAGAATGGAAGGAAAGACAATATGAAGTGTAAGGAGCTATTTCCTTTTATATCTGATATTGAATTAATTTTCTGAAACAAGATCTAGAAGCATCCTTCTTATGTCGTTATGCATCTTATTTATTATTAATTATTTATTTATATATATTTATTTTTGAAAGGCTCACCTACTTCTGACTGATGTATAAATATTTGGTTAATGTATCCCATTTGTAAGATTTTAAATTCAAAACTCAAACCTCAAATCTCCCCCTAAGTTTTTCGCAGTGCAGGATCAGCAGCACTGAAAGCAGGCATCAAGTGCTGTCGGCGCCTAAAGTAACTGAAGTCGGCAAATACCGCGCTATTCGGTGGGAATGGGACGAAACTGGAGGGCAGATGGCATCGGCACCACCACCGAGCGGGCGACATGAAGTTAAGTGGCGTAAAGCGTGTACTTAATCGCTTAAAGCATTAGAATTTGAAATTGAATATCATAAAGGATATTCAAAAGTACGAACCTAGAAAAAAGAAAAAAGGGAGAAAGCAAACGCAGACAAAGAGCAAAGCGCTGAAAAAAATTGTATAACTAGAGCAGAGCACACAGCAAATAGTTGTAAAAATGTTTCGATGGCGGCAGGGAGATAGACTCTGGATAGGGATGAGAATGAGGATGAGGATGAGAATGCGGCAGTTGAGGGTGCGAAAACATTTTGCAAATAGTTAAGAGTCCGTGTGGAGTTGAAGGAGTCTCGTGCCGTTGAATTGACGACTCGTAAAATTGTTTTAAGGTGCGACATAAACTGTGGGCGTCATAGGGGATACTGAATGGATACTGGATACTGGGATACTGGATCCTGAATCCTGAAGCCTTTATCCTTTATCTCCACTATAAACAAATTGTTGAAGCGAGTACATTTTTATCGCAATGAAATCAATTTGTTTTGGCCACTCGCTGAAGAGGTGATAATTTTTTTTGTGACCAAATCACTTTGTTTACGGTTTATTTATAGCTTAAGAAGCTAAGAAGAGTTTTTACATAAAGAAAAATTGTTAAACAGCTTTAAATATGGTTTTCTTTAAAAAATATTATTTATAATATATTTCGAAACATATTTACATATTTTAAAGTACTAGGTAATGAAGTTAAGTCTCTCCCTTTGGTTTAGTTTTTAGTTTAGTTCACAAAATTGTACTTATATAATGTGTAAGAACATAAATTAATGAATTTCTTTGATATATATGTATTTTTTCTATATATTATGATCTTTCCTATTGCTTTCCACTTTTCTCTCTTTAATTTAAATATCAAAGAACCAAAATAACCTGATTCACGCTACCCTCATAAATATTATTAAATTTAATGAGCCAAAAATGTCTGCTATTTGCTCATCATAACCACTATGTCCGCCATGATGCCGTGTGTATTTCTATGCAATTTAATATGGCCCACATAAAACTGCATAAATATAGAAAAAACAAGAAAGGAAACTAACTTCAGGAAGCCGAAATTTGTATACCCTTGCAGTTTGCCATAGGATCTGTCATTCAATCAAAAATTCATCATAACTAAGCCAAAAAAACATCAAATTCAATTCGGAAAGCTTTTATGTGCTATTTTTTTCCAGATAAACAAATCTGCATACTAAATTTCACATTTTAAAATTATGAAATTTTTGCCTATTTTTTGATTGACAATTAAACCATTTTAAGAACTCAAAAATACAAAAAAAAAATTTTTTTTTTTAATGTTTTCCTTCTTAACTTGGCTAGATCGACTCCGCTTTTTGTGCTGATCAAGAATATATATGATTTATAGGGTCGGAAATGAGTCCTTCACTGATTTTTGGGCTTCGAACTGAAATTATTATACCCCTTAAGGTGTATTAATTTTTAAATATTTATTCATAATTTTATATGATCATTTTAGGTCTTAAAAATTCAATAACTAAGCCAAAAATGCATTAAATTCAATTCGGAAAGCTGTTCTGAGTTAGTTTTTTTATGGTTAATAAATCTGCATATAAAGATTTTAAATTTAACCAATTTAAAATTTTTCGATTTTTCTTTACCTCCTTAAACAATAAAATTAAACATAAAATTAAAAAAAAAAATAAAAAATTTTAATTTTCTTGCAAACATGTCTAGATCGATTCTGTTTTTAATGCTGATCAAGAATATATATGATTTATAGGCTCGGAAATGACTCCTTCACACACTTTTGACTAAAATTATAATACCCTGCAAGGGTATAAAAATGAAGCGAAAAAGAGCTTTTAATAACATTTCGTTCTCTCGCTTCAGGACAATGTTTTTGCAGCAAAATTACGCAGCAATTAGCGGAATTACATTAACAAAAGTTTTGATTTTACCGAGAGGCAAACAATAATTTCACGGATATTATAATGCAATTTTTGTTCGCTTCAGCAAAAATTGCTGGAAATTATTACCCCAAAGTAATTATAATTAGATAAATTTTGGGCAGCGAAAAGGACAACTGAAATATTTACAGGATTTTGTATTAAAATTTATTGGAAAATTTCTGTGCTGCGAGTTTGTAAATCGCAATTCAATGCTGGGATGATTCCGGGGCCCACAGTTGGCATTAAAAATGCATGACATTTTGACAATTGATGGGCCAAGGAATCGATAACATCAAATATGCATGGGAGGCCCCTCTGGGCCGAGGCCTCTCTCTCTCCTTCTCTGTCAGACAATTTGCAATTTGCTTTTATCATCTTAATTTGATTTGTCGGGTGTTTGTCGAGGGTCTGAGTGGGGTCTGAGTTCACTGCGAGTTCGATAATGAAGCGAAGCCTAGGTAAATGAGCAAACGTATTCAATTATTCAGCAGCCTGTCGGGGAGAATAATGTCTTTTCTCTCTCTCTACTTGAACTACAGTCCTAAACAAACTCAAACTGTAACCGAAACTAAATCCAAAATGGTATCAATAATAATAGTTACAATTATTGTTGTTGTGGCTCTCCTCCATCCCGCTTGGAGCTTCATCATCACCTTGGATGCCCACGAGCACGAGTGCTTCTACGATACGGCTAATGTCAATGACATGGTCACCATATCCTTTGAGGTCATGGAGGGCGGCTTCAAGGATGTGGGCGTAGAGATCTCAGGACCTGATGGAGACATAATGCATCAAGAACATCGCGAGACCACCGGCAGCTTAAGCTTTGCGGCCATAAAGAAGGGTCGCTATAAGCTGTGCTTCGACAATGAAATCTCCACACTGACCCCCAAGATTGTCATGTTCCAGTTCCATGTGGTCAAACCCCTGGACTACTATGCAGATCCCAGCAAGCGATCGGATGATGTCCTAGAGCAGGCCAAACTGCAGACGATGGTTAACCAGCTGTCGGCCAGGTTGGGAGCCATACGAGTGGAGCAAGAGTACATGCATTTCCGCTACCGGGGACACATGGACATCACCTACAGTGTCCAGGATCGCATCCTGGCCTGGTCGGTCTTCGGGCCCATGATGCTGCTGATTATGACGGTGCTGGAGGTGTACTACCTAAAGCGTTTCTTCGAGTTCAGGCGAGTGGTTTAGTGCCTTTTTAAGGGTTTAGTAATAAAAGGCAGCTTGGCAGCTTGGCTTAGTTACTTGTAAAACTTTTCTTTTGATTTTATGGTGTATACCCAACCCTCTTCATAGAAATTCTATTAAATTGCAAGCCATTTATCAAATATTCCATATATAAACCTACTTCCGCGCAAAGGCAAAGCCCTAGAATGTAAAATCGAAATAAAATTCTTGGAAAATAACCGTCAGAAAGATGGATTTCCCCTCTAGAGCTGGCAGTTTCCATTGCTTTTGGCCCTTTTGTCTTGTGAACTTTATTTGAGCGCTGCTCCATTGGCTGCTAGGATACTTTGGACCACAGCAGTCCCAGTCCCAGTCCCAGTCCCAGTCCCAGCACCAGCCTCTCCTTACTTCCTGCTTCGTCGCCCAACTTTTGCTTTCATTTGAAGCTGGGGAGCAATATTGTACCAAGTTGGGTGTCCTTTATTCATTCTTCTGGCGCTGCCAGCTGCCGCGTCTCGAGAGCTTCCCTACACAACATGCTTCATTTTATTATGCAACAGCCAGCGGAACAAAAAAAAAACTTGCTACTTTATAGGGCAATACATATAAAGAGAGAGAGACCATGGAGAAACAAAAACCCATAGTGGAAGGCAGCAAAAAACTTGACGCGACATTGTCGTAAATAAGAGGCAAAAACTTTGCCATTGTTTTGCCCAAAAGGGAAAAACGAAACCCCCTCCCGCTAGAAACTTGTGAATGAATATGATAAGTTTCCGTCCAGACTTGGTGCCATATATTGCCGTATTGTATTGGCCATCATAAATTTCCAGTGCTAATCCAATATAGGTGAAGTGAACTTTATGGATACTTGAACCACTACTCCCCTCCATCGACCCATGGAAAGTTTTATGGTTTGTGAAGCGTGAAATATGCCACAAATTGAGGGGAAAGAAAAGTCACAAGGAAGGAAAAGCCAAGCCAAGTCCACGCCAACGCCAACGCCACTTCCTCAGCTGGAAGCTGCTGTTATTGTGTGAATTTAATCAAGCAGCTTATCATAAATCTAGTATAAAAAAGTATAAAAAGTGACTTGAGGAGCTGAGTTGATATGTAAATAATACATATTTCTTTATAGCTATTCACAGCTCTTTAAAGATTCTGGAAAATAAGTTAATTGTTTGTTTTTCTAGAGATTAATATGACAGGGTTTAAGAAAGAAGTTCATACTTTGCTCTACCTAATTAGCAATAAGTAGGTTTAAGGCTTAGAAAACCCACTGAGTGCAGAACTATCCAGCTCTGAAAAATTCCCTGAAAATATCTCTCATTTTCTGCACTCATTACTTTCCATTTCCATTTCGATTTTTCCGCCATCCGCTGCTTCTGTCACTGCAGCCGCCGCAATGGCCACTCAGCCAAGCATTCCGACGGCCCATCATCTCTCATCATTATCAAGGCATGCCCGGGACCCAACCCCATGCCACTCCTGGCTTCAATTATGTTTTGCATCCTTCAGAACTGTTCACTTAATTGCATCACTTGCACAGCCATCTCGGGCTGAAGGCGGCGGTTAGCCTTGGGCTCCTTACGAGCTGTGATGGCTCCGGGTTCAGATGTCCCTCCCTCCCTTCCATTTCCATTTCCACTGCCTCACTCCCAGCGTGGCAATTCAATTTTCTATTATGTCAGGCCGAGTTGAAAGCAATGTAATGTTAATAAAATACTGCCACCAGGCTCTCTTGGCAATGGCATCGGCATCGGCATCATCTCTAGCTAGTGGCGCTCAGTTATACTCGTGGCAACAACAATGGCAAGAACTGATGCCGATGCTATGGCAACGTAACGTATACGCAATGTGGTGCGCCTTTTGTCCTGCCTACGAGTATTTACCCACAACACACACATAGGCAGGCCACATGAGGAGGGAGGGAAACCCAAAAGGCGAGGTCGGGAGCCATGTTATTTGACATTTATTTGCCATTTCCCTGCATCAACGGCACCCCGAGCCAGGGTTGCACAGGAAACAAATTTTGGAAATTTATCTAGCACTTAATCAGGGGAAATTAATTTAAGAATGAAGGTAGGAAGAGAAATAATTAAGAAAAGGTTGTGAATTGTTCTTCTTTCGTATTTCTTGAATAATATTTGAATAAGGAACTTATTTATATTTTTTTAGGCTAACAATAGTGTGGCTTTCCATTATTATCCTCATAAGTCCCCTTTGTTTTCCCCTGTGTAAGAAATCTATGAAGCTGCACTTACCTCGCTTCTGTGGCGCCTGCATGGAGGGCGATGGCGTCGCCAGGCCCACACCCAACAGCTGCAGGAGGAGCAGCATCGCCAGCAGTGACATCAACAGGCCACAGCGAGCTGCTCCTACTCCTGCTCCTGCACCCGATCCAACGGCGGCTCCTTTGTTCCGCCCCATCGTCCGACGACGACCTGCTACGACTCCACTGGATCCTTGACTTTGGTCTCGGTTTTGGTTACGGTTTGGGTTTCGGTTGTTGGATTGGGCTTGGGATTTGGTTTGGAATTGATAGTGGCCTTTGCTTTGATTCCGGAATCCGTTGGAGCGTTTGCTTTGGCACATTTCTGTTTTCGCACTGCACTTTTCACAAATCTCTCTCTCTCTCTCTCTGGCACTTTTCCTCTTTATATTTTATTTGTTCATTTCAATTATGCTACTAAAATACATATATAAAGTATAAAAAGAACATGAAATAAAGTTGTAGCAAATATTTGCTTGCATTTTTCCTGCAAATATTTTCATTTCGATTTAAATTGTGCGCTTTTATTAGGCCATATTTGCAATTAATTAAAAAGCAATTTGCTCAATAATTGATACACAGAGAATTTTCCTGCCAGGCCATAATTTAATAGCGGTCTTTTGAGGGGTTTTCAGAGCATCTCGATCATTAGTCATTGGGGAAATCCAGAGGGAACTGAAAAATGAGTGAAATCCCAGGAGGCGAAAGGCCGCTGGCAATCATTCTTCATTAGGGATAGGGGGCCAACATGTCAAGGACTTTTCGAGGACGACCACAGAAATGTCGCGCAGTTTTCTCCAAACGTTTTCTCATCACATTTTTTGGTTTTTTTTTTTTTTTGCTGCTTGATAAATATCAAAAAAATTCTCACAGTTGCATTTCCATGGAAATTGGCAAAGGCAGGCGACGCTCTGTGGAGCCTGAAAAATTGCAGCAATTAGTGGTGCCTGGAGGTCAACCAACCAACGAGCCAAAAAGGACACGGACATGGACGAGGTCCTGCCTGGCTGCAACCTGGCTGGCGACGTGAGCCAGCCAAGAAATATGTGGCTGAAATATTTTGGTTACCATTTTTTTTTTTTGTGGCTGCTGAAAATACCTTTAAAGTGGGATTTTTTTGGTGAGATTGAAATAGAGCCTGTGAGTGAGTGTGAGGAAAATGGGTGACAGCGTTTTGTGAGTTGGCAAATATTTGGTTATAACGTTTGGGGATTTTTCCCCCTTTTTTGGTCAGCGTGAAGGCTTAAAAATGCCAAAACGTGTCAAAGGAAATCCAGGGAAGTTTGCTAGTTTTTACAAACCAATAAAACTACTTTGTAGATTAAAAAAATATATTTTTATACCCTTGCAGGGTATTATAATTTCAGTCAGAAGTTTGCAACGCAGTGAAGGAGACGTTTCCGACCCTATAAAGTATATATATTCTTGATCAGCATCAACAGCCGAGTCGATCTAGCCATGTCCGTCTGTCCGTCTGTCCGTCTGTCCGTCTGTCCGTCTGTCCACCTGTCCGTTTCTACGCAAACTAGTCCCTCAGTTTTAAAGCTATCTGAATGAAACTTTGCACATAGTCTTCTATATACTCTCACTGCTATATATGTCGGAACGGGCCGGATCGGACGACTATATCATATAGCTGCCATACAAATGATCGATAAATTTTTAGAAAAAAAATTATAACTTGGATGTTTTTTAACATTTTTGCACCATTTTTTAGATATGGCCATTTTATTTTATTTCTGAATTTTGGTAAAAATTTCACGAAAATCGGACGACTATATCTTATAGCTGCCATAGGAACGATCGGGAAATTAATAGGAAAAAAAATGATAACTTCGTTGTTTTTCAACGTATTTTCATCTACTTTGAGATATAAGCTTATTTTATTATTTTAGAATTTTGGTATAAATTTCATAAAAATCGGACAACTATATCATATAGCTGCCATAGAAACGATCGATAGATGTAGAGAAAATGTAAGGCTGGGAATGTAAAACTGTAACTGTCAAACTGTAAACATAATAAGTATAGGTAAAATGTAATGAAATGATATCTGCAAGGGTATACAAACTTCGGCGTGCCGAAGTTAGCTTCCTTTCTTGTTTTTATAGATTTTCACAAATAAAATTCATTGCTTTAATGTTTAAACACATGTATTTCCCGATAACCCTCCTCAATCATTATTATTTCCTCTTATAATGGCTTATAATGTTTTATATCTGGCCATAAATTGACCATTAAAATTGTATATATGACGGTTTTTAATTGCTTGATAGATGCTCATTGCGTTTTATGTTTCATTTTATTTTTAAAATATCAAAAGCCATTCCTGTTGATATTTTAATGATAAATGTTTGCCTGGCCGAAAGGTTGGTTCAGCTGTTTCAATATTTCAGTGGGTTCTTTGTTATGGCAGCACCACATCTACCTCTCTCCTCAATTATTTATGCAAAAGGGGGAAAAGCGGCAATAAAAATCAAAATCGGGGCAAATTCAACTGTGGCATATGGCGGAAAAAGGGACACAAAAGGCCTGACAGTGGGAAAAACAAAAGCCAAAAAAAAATAAAAGCGAGCGAGATAAATCCATTGACGGATGTGGCACGCGTTTCTCCCTTTCTCTGTGTATTTGTTTTATTATTTTTATTTGTTTTGCGAAGGCACTTTGTAAAAAATCACGTAGCCATGGCCGTGGAGATAAAGGACACCCGCACAAAGGCACACTCGAAGCGACGAGAATTTAATATTTAATCTTAACGAAGGACATCAATTGCAATTACACCAAAAACACGGCGCACAACGCGTTTCCTTGACGATAGCGAAAATCCCTGCAGGATTCTTGAACTGCTTTCGCTGACTTCTGCAGACGAACTGAGCGCGAATTTATTGCTGCTGCCACACAGGGAAATCCCTTCAATATATCTCTCTATATCTACATATATATTTATATTCCACGACGACACACAACCTCAGGCTTCGGCTGGCCACGGCGAACTGGCCACTTTTCGCTACGATTTTCCCTTCGGAAAAGCCAAAGCGAAACCGAAGCAAAGCGAAGCGAAGCTCTGAATGAAAGTGAAGCTGATTTTTCCAGCCACTGAGAGAACTCTGAGCGAATCGGTTGAGAAGAGACAGTGAGAGAGCGTGAAAGCTTTGGTTGGTTCGTGGTTCTATGGAGGCGGGGGAATCCCCTGATGCTCTCCCGGAACATCTGACTTTTGTTTACGCTTATCAGGCATCAGCTGTTCCCGGAGAGCGAACTCCTGGCTGCTCGCCACGTGGCCACAACAAAAACAATCGCCGTGTTTTGATTCGGAATTATGTAATGGCTAGTGAAAATGGCGTAAGGCATAATTACAGGTGCACTGGCAGAAAATTGTAGGGTTTTTTGAATTATTTTATAATATTTTCTTGTAATTTGTGTGGCTTAGAAAATATTTGGAGATTTTTAACACTGAAAAAGTATTCAAAAACATTATATATTTAGTGATAAAAATAGTCAATTTTTTTAATCAAATCTACTATTTGGGTTTTGCCCAACAATATTATTTTAAACTTTATTTTGCGCTTTAAATTTTAATTTGCTTGCATTTATATTTAACTATTTAAATAACAATTTATAAAACCTTCCAGGAATATGAATATTTATGAACATTTTTCCCTAACAATTTATGCTTCCAGAAAACCCTTTACCTATTTCCCATATTAATTACAAGTTCTAAAAGAATTATTGCTGCCTTTTCAGTACCCTTAATTAGGAAATAAAGATTACCAAAAGAATGCAAAGCAAAATAGGAAGAAAGTGGTCTTAAAAACAAATCATAAAAAGTGAGCAGCCCACCTAACCAGACCCCCTTTTGCCAGGCGGCCCCTTTACCACCACACTCCTAGCCTCTCCCTCCGCAGTGGTCATCATCAAGGGCGAGGAGTCCTTTGCGTGGACAGCTGGCGACGACCTTTGCATGCCAATTAGATTGGGGATCTCTTTCGGCAACTGGGACACGGAACGCTGCGCTTCGCTGCGGAATGCCTTTCCCCCCCGAAACCCGCCAACCGTCTCGGCCACAATAACCTTTAAGTGTTACGGTAACGGCCGAGTTTTTAAGATGGCGCGAAGGAAGAAGGTATTTTTTTTTATAGCTATCAGCCATCAGATTCAGCTGCAGGTTGTCTTCCTTGTCCTGCTGCTCTCTTTATTTTCTCATTTCCTGGCCAGCCCCATACTCAAGGATGTGCGCAGGTGTCGGGAACAGAAGCTGAGGCAGGTAGAAACACTAAAAAAGAAGTCGGGAGTGCCCTTTTTTTTGTTAGCTTTTTGCTTAATTTTCGTTTTATGTTTTGACACCGTTTTTTTTCGGTAAAGTTTTCCAGCACAGAATCTTTCCTCCCTCTTCTGTCACTTACAAGTTTACCTCGTGTTGCCGTTGACATTTTTATACATCATCTGTCCTTTTTGGCGGCCATTTCCCCTCCGTTTTCCCCCCAGTTTTCCAGGCACCTTTGAGTGCCCCCATATCATTCCGTTGTTGCTTACATTTTTATTTAATTTCCAGCCTTTTCTCGGCGTAAAGTTCTTTCGTTTTTGTGGCCCATAAAAGGGCAAGTGCCTTGGCTTTCATTCTTTATTTTATTGGGACCATATATAGCCCTGAAATCTGGCAAGTGTGAACAGACAGCCGTCTTTGATCAATATTTAATTGCCTTCAAAGGCGGCCAATGTCAAAGGGATTCCTTTGGGTGTTCCTATAATTTATGTGCGTTGTAAAATATTGAAACGAAATCGTTATATAATTGATTTAAATGGGGTTAAACTTTACAGATGTACGGATAAATATGTGCTGAAAAAATATTACAAATTAATTACTATTCAAAATGGCCGCAGGGGGCCACAAAATGTGTGATTTATGGGCTCAGAAATCACGTATACGCCGGGTGATCGATGTAGCCGCCTTTCCTAACTCCTTCTCAGGGGGCCATATTGCAATTGAACACATAATAAATATTTATGCAGACAGTACAGCACACACCGTAATTACACACATACACACACTCTGCGTGGGTTGTTGTGTGTTTGCACAGATTATTAAAGTTATTTTCTTTGGCACAAACCGCTTTTCCTTGGTGCCTGGCAGGCTGGGAGCGCCTTTTGTTTATGTTTGCACACATGAATGTATAAATTACGATGCTTGGTTTTTGTAAACAAAATGAGTTTGCCTGCGGGCCGCCCCGGAAAACCCCCTGGAAAGAGTGACGCCCCTGGGCAAACAGTAGCTGTAGCTCCTCCTCTCTTAACACTCCTCCCGTTGGCCACATTTAAATATTTGCGCATGGAATTATTTTCTCTGGCATAAAGTGTGGCCAGGTAGACATTTTACAAAGTCAAACAAAAGTTGCCCCCATCACTTGCCGAGCTGTTAACCCCGCCATGGCTCCTTAGCCGGCTCCTGCGGATGCTCCTTGTTGCCACCTCCTGTAGGTTTTGTGTCCCCATTTTGTAGCACCTACCTCCCACCTGTTCTTCCACTCCTGGCCGTGGCATGGGGAATTTTAATTAAATTTAAATGAAGATTTATTACATATTTCATTGCCTCGACTCTGGTGACCTTCAATTGTCCTTCGATTAAGCCACAATTGGTAGCAACAATATCGATTTCACACGGAACAAAGGAAGGAAGCCAAGTTTAATTAACAATTTCAATGGAAATAATTAGAGAAACAAGTAGAAAATGTCTGGAAATAAAATAAAAGTCCTTATAAAGAAAAGGTTGCTAAGCTAATGTTGCTAGGAACAAGTTAAGCAACACATGTTGCTGGCATTGCTTTGCTTTCTAGCAACATAAGCTTAGCAATATATTAGTATAATTCTATAACTTCCACATTTATTCAGCAATTCTACTATTTATCAAATTAATTACAATATAAATGTAATTAAATTACAAAGAATATAAATATATTTGTGATTATATGTATTTATTTCCTTTAAAGTTTAAAACAAAACAAAAAAAATCAGTTACATTTTCTTTTCCCTGACCGAAGGCGGCGGCATAGATGAAGTATGGGATGGTGGTACTGGCGCAGCGCCACTGTCCGATTCGTAGGGCCCCACCCGCGATGCTACTATCCTCGGCCGGATGACGACAAAGTGGCAGACCAGATTGTTATCCACCACCAGAACGGCACCACAGTTGTCGAACATGTTGCAGTAGTTTGGGGCCGAGAAGATGGTGACCAGATGGCGGTCGGCGAAGAATTCGTAGCCATCCTCGACGACCTGGTGGCCGCGCACAATCAGATTAAAGTTGTGCTGCTGCAGGAAGCCATCCACGACAGAGGCCCCAAAGATGTAGCTAACGCCCCTTTCGTTGGGCGCCCACGAGTCTATGCCGTCCTCGGGATCCGCCCACAGGAGATCGCACAACAGACCCTCGCTGGGCACTTCAGTGGGTCGCGACAGTTGCCTGATATTGTCCAGACAGTTCAGATCCGGACTCAGACCCCCATGGACGCAGAAGATACGATCCCCCACAATGGCAGACACGGGCATGCAGTCGTAGCAGTCCACGAAGGCCTTCCACAGCTTCACGCTGTACCGCCGCTTGCACTCGTCGTAGAACCCGTAGACCTTGTTCACATCCGACGACTCGTGATTGCCGCGCAGCATGAAGAAGTTCTCGGGAAAGCGGAGCTTGTAGCACAGCAGCAGGGTCAGGGTTTCCAGCGAGTTCTGTCCCCTGTCCACGTAGTCACCCAGGAACAGGTAATTAGACAAGGGCGGATTGCCGCACTGCTGGAAGATCCTCAGCAGATCCCTGAACTGACCATGCAGATCGCCGCATACCTTCACCGGCGGACTCAGCTCCAGGAGCATCGGCTGGGAGAGGAACAGCTCCCGGGCCGAACTGCAGACGTACAGGATGGTTGTCTCTTGCATGTTGGCCATACGGCGGTTGGCAAAGCTCTGGGTTTTCAACTGCATAATGATGTTGTCCAGGTTGGCCAGTCGCATCTTCTCTTCTTTTTCCTTTTCCTTGCTCGGTTTTGAAGTACTAGACATGCGAGGGTTAGACATGGTTTCCTTTGCTGTTCTATTGATTTTTATTAGGGAACAAATTGAACTTATTTTTGAGTGATGAGTGTCTGTGTGTGTGTGTGGGAAATCTTTTTTACATTCCTCTATTTAAATTGAATTTATTGCTTGATGAAAACCCCGAGTTTCCTGCGGTTCACTTGGCTGCTCGCCACTTCAATCTAAAATCGCTTTCGTTAAGACTTTACCCACCATTTCTTTTGCCAATTCAAGTTGCTCCTTCTCCGCTCGCTGGCGTTATCTGTTACCCCTTGACCGTTTCAATTATCAGACACTTGGCATAAATTTTGGCAAAAACAAAAAAACACATTCAAATGGAGGACGGACGGACGCCTCTCTCGATAACAGAGGAAAAGCGCCGCAAAGTCGCTTGTTTACTCGCTGTTGAACCCTGAACTCGCCCGCCCACTCACTCACCGACTCACTTACTCTCGGCTGCCGCTTGTTGGCCAGGACGCAGCTGCATTTTGGCCACTCGTAATCCCAATCCAGAGAGCTTCCTGCACTTGTAATGCGGCTTAAAGCGAGTACCATTCGGGGCCATCTAGGGTTTTATGCGAATATATATCCGCCTGGGAAAAAATGCCTGACCCACTCCCGCTTTTTTGGTAGCGCATTTTGAATACATTTTTGAATCAGCGTCGGTCGGCGACGCTGTTTACTTTTTATGTCACTCTTTTTCGGACCCAACTCCGGCTCGGGTTTTATGCGATTTGTGTACTTCCGGCGGGCGCTGGTGCTTGTGGGACTCCCAGTGTGTGTGTGCCCTGCGTGGGTCCTGTGTGTGTCATGTGTGTGTCACCACTCCCAGCTGATGGCAAACCGAAACCACTCGCAGTTGGTCCGCGCCCCAGAATGTATTTAATTGCAAGCGGCGCTCAAATAGGATTTGTGCATTGTTTTCTGCGGTGGATTTAATGCCATCTCCTCCTCTTTTCCACTTTCCAGCTTGTTTTTGCATTTTTTTTTTTTTTGCCCCCATCGCCCAGCTCTGCTCCCATTTGGAATCTATTTTAATGTCAGTTTAATTCAATGCCCTAGTGGTTCTCTCTAATGCGCTGCGGGGAGTTATTTTGAGGAGAATGGGAATAGTGTGCGGTGGTGGGAGGAGGGATTCCCACCCCATTGTGCGGCAAATGTAATTAAATTGTGGCCAAAGTGGGATAATCCCCTGCGCTTTTTTCGATATGGGTACTTAGTAAGCGTATATCTGCTCTCAGCGGGAACTCTGCCAAGCTGGACTCTATTTTGACTTAATTTTTGATCCTTTTCGAACTGAAATCTACTTTTAATGAGATTGATTTGGGTTTGAATTTGAATTTTATTATATTTTATAGCCTAAAGTGTATGTATTTTATATTTTAGGGAATATTTTTAAGCTCCCAAAAAGTTACGTTTTTAATGAAAACCCGAAACCCATTTAAATTGTAATCCCCTGACTCGAAATACCGAATCAGTGGCATTGCTTACTCAATTGACTCAACTGAAAGTCGAACAGCTTTCAACCATCGCTCTCTCGAAATCTGAAGCAGCTGAAGGCGCTTGGCTTATTTCCGTTTCCGCTTGCTGCCATATTTTGTGATCCCCCTCATAACCGAACTCTCCTTCACAATTCTTACCCATTTTTACCTCAGCAATGCAATTTTCAATTGGAAAATGAAGCAGGGCAACGACAGTGGCACCAAAAGGCACAGAGAATGAATAATATTTGGATTTATGGAAAAGTTATCGACATCAACTTAATCACAAAATATTGATAAAAAGTTTTAAAATTACCTTTTTAATATTTATTTTAATCCATTATTATTACAATTATTACAATATTACAATTTAATAAAATTTCTTTCTCTGCATGAGACTCCCCAAAAAGGGGAGGCGAGGGCAAGGGTCATGTGGTTGGGTCAGCGCTGAACTACTTTTCTGCTTTTCAGCTGGTGCTGCTGTCGTTGCTCTCGCTGCTTTTGTTGCGGCCATATCCCGCCCCATCTCCGTCTCCAGCCCCATTGTGTCGCCGGAAATATTCAATTTTCAATTTTCATTTCGCTGGCCAGCAAAAATTGGCAAGCGACGAAAACAAAGGACGTGGAGAATAGAATGCCGAGAGCGGGAAAATCTGCTAAGCGCAGTGAGTGGGATTGAAACAAAGGGAATGTTGAATGAACGAAATCAATTCGATTATTACGTTTTTTTCCCCCTTCTAGGGTTTTCTTTCTCTATTATTGCTCTCCCTTGTATTGTCGAGAATTATGAAGGTGCAACGCTGCTGACATAATCTTAATGCAACGGGATTTTCCTGCAGGACATAGCCCCGCCCAGGGCATCCAGGGTTGTCATCTTAACACAATTAAGCGCTCTGCGGGATATAAATTTATTGAAATATTATTTATGACGTTGAAAATTGCTGGAAGCCGCCTTTAATCCTCGTTACTTACTCACCCAGGCCAGCCCAGAGGATACGGATCCCTCCTGCTGGGCATGCTTCGGTTATCGTTTGTTTTGGCCATTTTCCAGGGTCATTAGCTGACGGCCACCATGATGATGATGACGATAATGTTGATGTTGATGTCGGCTAAAAACTTTCTGGAGCTGGCATCTCCAGCTGGGCTAGAGACCCACCGCAAATGAAAATTGTTTTCTGGAAGGCATCACAAATGGGGTAATCAGAAATTTAAAATTACCAGAATATTCAACTGGGGAATGGTAATTTCAATCATATGATTTACTTAATTAAATGAATAAATCCTTAACATATTCCAAGGCTTCTTCCATTATTTAACTCCTGTAAAAAGCGCTTTAACCAGAGATACCTACAGACTGCACATATCCCCAGGACCTGGCCACTCATTAAATAGCCTTCAGGGTTTAAGCTCAAGCTGAGTGCTCTCTCTCCCTGTGTGTGTGTGTAGTGCCAAGATAGCCGGGTCAGGAGCTTATTTTAATTAAAATTTTAATTTATTTCCTGCCATTTCGGTGGCCCCTTCCTCTTCCTTTTATTTTTAATATATTTTATTCACTGGCCATCAAACGTGATGAGAAACGCTGAGGGGGGTCACATCAAGTGGCCGAAATTAAAATCTGCAGCAAGCTCTTGACACTTGAGGGGGACTAAAGAGGAGGTGTGTGTGAGGTGGGTTGAGTGCAAACTATACACAAGTGACAAAAATTACGCATACGCACTGTGCGACGCCAGGTATAATGAGAGAGCAACCAGGTCGCAATATATTGAAGTGACTGCGTTTCGGTGGGTGTGTGACTGCTCATTAACACTCTGTCGAGTGGCGTGTGTGTGTGTGTGTGTGGCTGAGTGGGGTTAAGCTTCAAGTTGGTGTTTTTGCTGGTGTGAAACAGAGACTGAAAGATGAGAAGGACACGCGTGTGTGGGAACAGTAAATCACTGAAAATAGCTGGCAAAATAAATTCCACAGAAGATTTAGTAAGACATAGACATAGCTATCGTCTAGTCTCCTGGCTCCTTGCTTTCTTTCCCATATTTTCAGTCCAATCACTCTTCTCCCTACAGTCAAGCTTCGGTAAGATGAACTTTTTATCTTTTTTTCTCTGATAATTGGAATTTTAATTACTTTAAATTAGGATGTTTATGGATTAGAAACTCTCTTATGATTAAGTAAATATTGTAAAGATATACTAAAAATCCAAAGCAAAGTCTGTCTTAGGTCTAATCGCCTGTTTTTAGGCCGGTTAAAAAGGTTTTGCCTACACTCTGGGCTTTCGGGCTGTCTCACTCAGTGGTGTGGCTGACATTTAGCAGTCGCTTGACACACACACACACAGAGTTCCAGGATAGTTAGTCCGTGAGTCCACCTCCTCCTTCGTGTGATATCCACTTTTGGTTTGGCGGAGAGCCGAAACGAAACGAAACGAGGCGAGAAGAGGCATCATCAAAGACTCCGAGTGCCAGGCACTTGACGTTGACGTTGGTGGATAAGATGGCCGGAGGAGCTGGTTGCCAGAAAGGAGATGGAGCTGGGAGCTGCCAGCGATAAGCGAGCGGATAATGATGTACGGCACCTGAGCACGCGGCGTATGAGTAATGCCAAGCCATGTTAGTTAGTTGGCCAAAGTTGGCCATCCTTTTTGGGGGGCCAAAAAAGAAAAGAATGATGCAATTTCCAGGCCACAATTCACCAGGCGGACGAACAGTGCTCTCTTCTCCTGCCTTGCCTGCCTGTGAGAAATGTGGAGTAAAAAGCAACCTCATTAAATTGAAAAATGTCCACAATTTGCAGGACATTATGTCCCGGGCTAATGCATGCCGTTCTCTGGCCAAAGTAGACCATGTCCTTGCTCTTCCTCTCTCTCTATATATATATGTATATGTATGTTATATCGGTTGATGTTGTGTCTCTACAAATTGTTTAACTTCTCGACTTTTAAATCTCTTTGGTCGTGTGAACGAGCTCAATCTATATGGATATATGCGAGACCCGTACGAGTACGGGTATATGTATAAATTTGCAGTGTTAATGCAATTTTAAGCTGCTTTATTAATGATTTTTCTCTCTTTGGTTTACCTTGCAGCTTTCAGAAACGATTGCCGCTTCTGAACATTGGATAAAACTATTAAGAAAATTGTGGTTAAAATTTTGAGGGAAAAATAAAGCATTTATTGAAATATTTGTTAGAAAATAGAGTTGAAAAGTAGGACGTAGTAGTTGGCTCTATGTTTGTTCTTCAGAATCTTTTTCATTGTCTTCAGTTGGTTTCTCTGAGAATAGGTTTTGATTTAGAATCATCGTCAGGGGTTGTGACTCACTACATTTTGATAGCCTGGACTTGGGCATCCTTGCTTATTTGTATGCAAATTAAGAAATAATACAAAGTATCACGCAGAACTATTTTACAACTGGCACATAAAGACAACTAAAATATCGGTTCTACTTATTATTCCACCTTCGAACCACTGTGCCCTCTTCATATCATAAAGCAAAAGTTATTGGGGCAAAAATCCTGAACGCAGAAGAAGCCGTTTTTTTCCATTTCCATGGCTGTGCGCGGCTGTGTAAGTGAGACGGGTAAACATTTGTGTCAATGCATCGATAA